AAGGTTCTGTCTGACTGACCACGGTCTCGGGATGTCGTGGTCCAGAGATCACGGTGTTCGACTCTCATTCAATAGATTCTGGGATAGAAACCTGACAGTGACTGTAAATTTTCTTCTCTAAAATTGTCTTTTTTTTACCTTCTTTCCTGCTCTCTAACAATGTTCTGTCGTCTGCTTTCGTCTTCACTTTCTGCACCCCCCCCCCCTCCTTTCACCTCATTTGTCCCCTTCTCTGGGCTTCTGACTCTTTCTGTAGCCTTTCCACTGTTACTCCTTGGCTTCTTCTTGCTGCTGTCTTTCAGCCAAACCCCTAATCTTATGGTAGGTTTAATCTATCACATATAGCCTTCTCGGATAAGGGCGAACAATCTCGGAGGTTCCGTGTGCAAGATGTACACGTTATAGATACCTTGGTGGTCTGAAAATCGACAAGAGTGGGTTTAAGCCACCACCATGGCAAAATTAAAAATTCCTACCAAATTGAAAATGGTTAATGAGTCCCGCGCGGTCATAATATGACCTTATGCAGTCGCGGGCGCCGTAAAACACTTACCAAAACAAAAAACACGACCATGGTCTACCACGAAGCAGGTGCTCTACTACACGTCCCGCCCGACTGACCACGTTCTACCTGAGCTGTAAGATTGTGGTAATGGCAGTGCTGGAGGTATTTAGATCAAAGGTGGTGGCGTGTGGCTTTCATGTTTGCGTCAGATCAGTCGGAGTCGTTATCAAGATATTCAAAGAACTGTAATCGAAAAAGCTTGAAATGCTGTGAAACTCAAAATTTATGATGTCAAATTTCTCAGAACTAAGTACTGAGCAGATAGAACTTTGTAGTTCTGATCAGAGAGCAACTTGTAACAAGTCCCACTCCAGTATAAACCGTCATTTTAGCCCGTTTTGTTAGACCGGTCCGGCGGTAGACCGTCAAGAGAGTTAAGTAGACCAACAACATCGAGGTAGAACGTCGACTAAACCAGCGCCCGTAAAGGTCTTGTTGGGAAGTCCCTAGACAAAACAGTTCAAATTATGTTTCGCTCAATGACTGTTGGTCCCACTAGAGTGGAGACCCTGAATGCGCGTTTTAGTTCAAGTAGGTTCCGAATGGAGATCTCAACTTGATCTTTACCCTAAAAAGAGCAATATCCCCCCCCCCCCCCCCTCCAAAAAAACAAACAAACCAACTTTACCCAACACCTTGAATAAAGACTGTTAATATTGCCCTTAAATCTCCTAAATCTTAGTAAAGACAAAGAAAAATAAAACTACATAAACTAAGTGCAAGCAATTCAACACACGAATTTATGCAGATGTTTTAAAGTAAATACATGTAATTGCATCGACGAACTCTTTGTACAAGCCTCCAATGCCAGAAAAGATCGACTTTTCCAATTTAGCAATCTTAAACGCTAGAACCGAAGATGAGGCGAAAATTTCCAGAGGTAGATCTAATTACAAGCAGGCTACAGTTTTAATGCAGAAAGTACTTGGTAAACCTTAACTCAGTGACTTACGCAAAATGAAACGGTCTCTCCGTCAGAACGACAAACTATAAGCTTGTATGTACGAAGTGACAGCAAATTTACGTTTTTATACTAATTGGCAGGAATTTTATCATTTATGGTTTGCCTTAGGGGGAAAGTGTCCCTGTCTTTGCCTAGTATGGTATAAATAATCTGCTGTAGCTAAGGGATTATGAACAAGGTAAGGCAATATTTGAATGGAAGGATTTAAATGGCAATGAATGTTTCTTATCCCTGAACAAATTACATCCATTTCTTTAGACATGACTTATTACACTAGGTCAACCAAATAGATAGATTTTTTCTGGAAAAAAAGAAAACAATATTACAATAATTTCACACCTCAAGTAAATCTAATCCTTACGTTTGCATTAACTTCATAACTAAAAATCATTAAACGTTTTGAACGAATTCATCGTCCTGTTAATGGTGCACTGTGGAATTAAAAATCTTGAAATATTTTAACTTCAAAGCTACAAAACGACGTAATTGTCCCACATAACAATTTTTGGGGTGGCATTGAATTAGTTTTCGGGTCGCCAAGAGCTCCACACTTTTAGACGCGCTTAAAAAAACAGTTACGTGAACTTATTGATACAAATCAACTCAATGGTCATGTTTCGTTTTTAATGGAGAAATTAAAATTATGTTGTTTACACTGGATGTGCTTTATTCAGAAATATTATTATATATATATTTCATTTTGTTTCCTTCAGCTTTCATTCTTCTTTTTAGAAGAAAAAAATCAACGGTTTTGGGAGCTTAAGGGGGGGGGGGGAGATATCTGAGTTCTCGGTGAGTACTCTCTTGGGTGCGAGTGACGAGGACAAGAGAGGTTGATAGAGGAAGAATAACATGATATTAGTACAAGTATCAAGCCTGCAAAACGTGGAGACATTGTCGCATTTGCCCCTACGTGAAAGAAAATCTGGTCGGCTCAGACCCGACTCACAAAATTGGCTGTGTGCATTATTTCTGAGTATCTCCTCACACCAACTAGAAGATGGCAAATTTCACTTCGTGAGAATCTTACGAACACACAAACCAGATTTCTGCCATAATAATAATTATTTCCCCTGACCCGACCAAGGAGGTTACTTGTTTTTATTCTGAGGTCTTATTGGGCCCGACTCCCGGTAGACACAAGCGCTCTCAGCGCTGTTGTCTGTAGATTTTGAGAGCGGCGGCGGTGATAGGACCTAGATCTAGTATTTCTCTGTTGATCCTTAGTCATATGTTTGGCCAATCATTGTACAGTAGAGTCCGTTTAAACCAAACACGTTGAATCCGTAAACCGCAGTAAGCCAAAAGAACATGACTCCCCTGTTGTTTTATTTTTAGATTTAAATTTCTTTAAATTGTTTTTAAGGGATTTCTTTTAGCATCCTCTAAAAACAGAAATCCCGGCCATACCGAAGACAATCCGGCGGTTCCTCACATTCCGGGTTAAGCGGACTTCACCGTTCATAGTACCGACCATTAAAATTTGATTCAACCATACAGTTCCCATCCACCCTTGTGGTGTTCAATACTCACGCTCCTCCCCCAGTGCCTACCTGTAAAAAATCGGTTGTGTAAATGCACTGTGTGCGGTGGTGATAATAGAGCCTTCGGGGTGGTGTGGTAGGGAAGAGGTAGGCGTTTAATTCGGAAGGTAAATACAAATTTAATGTGAAGTGCACCCTCGGAGTAGATTTCACATCCCAATCATTTGACTGTTGCATCGTTGACACTTATTTGTTGGAATATAAGATAAGCTGTGACAGTTTGAATAACCCCCAAACTTCACCCCACCCAACCCCTCTTTTTCCCCCTTATATGCACCGGCTAGGGAAGTTACTTGCGTACGGGTTTTATTACATTTACGACGTATTATTCGTCTCTAGTCTATCCTTACATCGTGATAAGATTAAAGTTATGAAATAAATTGTATTACACTTAGCCTACACAAAGAACACAGAAGGTTCATTAACCCTATCCGTACGTCGTGTTTCACTATCGTATCCATACGACCTGGGGAACTCTGTGCCACCACTTTCCAAACAGGAAATTTACTCGTTAATCCGATCCGCACGCTTTGCATAGCAGTCTGTCAAAATAATTTTTTGAGAAATACTGAACGTTTCAAAGAGATCTTCGTACTAGGAGTATTTTTAAATGCGAAGAATACAACCCCGGGGGTACAAAATAACCCCAGGCGTACGTATAGGGTAAAAAACCTTTTTCGAAATAATGACAACCTGGTCCTGGTACTTTACGTCCATACACAGATAATTATATCGTCCGTGTATTTTGTTTGTTTTAAGCATTTTCCCGTCCAATCTAGTCGGTACAATGATATTGATACTTTTCTTGCTGCTGCTGTTTTATTATTTGTTTTCGTAGTTTGTTATTTAGGGAGGGGATTTTGTAGTTGTTGTTGCTGTTGTTGTTTTGATTTGTTTGTTGGGCGGGTTTGTTGTTGTATGGGGGGGGGGGGGGGGGGTTAATCTGTGGGAGTGGGAGGGAGTTACTTTTCAAGCAGAATTATGGATGATTATCTGCTGCTGTCACCATCCTTGTCACGAACACGATGAGTACCCTCGAAAAAAGTGAAGAAGCACATTATATATATTATGATGTTTGCGTACAGGCGAGAGAGAATATGAAGCAATTAGACGCACAAGATTTGTATGGATCTTAAGCCTTGATCAGGCAGGAGTTCGAGGCAATGAGCGTGCTGATAAGCAAGCCTGCCAGGCTGAGATTGGCGGCACCATGCGATTAGATCCAACAACAGTCATGGCAGCATTGACAGTATGGTTTAACGACTGCAGAGAAGATGGCGGCAGCACATCACACACAATGGAAAGACTGGGGGAAGCTGGTGTCTCTAGAGGATTGTGGAGAGACAAGCAACCTGCGAAAAAAAGCCAGAAGAATAATCCAACCAGCTGATAACTAGCACGATCAGCAAGCAGACCCTTTCATGGACCCTGGAGAGGAGGGAGGAGCAGCTATGGCATTGTGCCACATGCCTATTCTCAAACCAAGCAAGTATGTAACTAAACTTGCACACCCCCTTATGTATGGGTTAATTTGAACAAAAAGCTCTCAAATTCAAACTTTTGACGAGGGTACCTTCAAAATTTCTATGAAAATGATTTTAAAAATATTTTACCAAGGACAACATTATATATATAACAAAATTTAGAAGCTTAGTATTGATAACCTTATATCTAAAGAAGCCATGTTACCTTGGCATCTTAAATTTTAATCAGAGTTTAGCCTTGAAAGGCGTTCTGTCATTCTTTTCTGGATTTCCTTAGAGGAAGTTATATTTCTGGTATTCTCTTCTTCTTCTTTCACCCCAATCCTCCACCAATAAATAAATAAATAAATAACTAAATAAATAATGAGTAAACTACTTGACGCTTGACGAACGAGCTAGTCTACCCCATTTGTTACTGCGAGAACTACCATTAAGCGAACCAGCGCAGCCTCAAACAGACCGCCGTTCTGAGTTCTCAACAAGTCATCAAGAAGTGAGCAGTAAATACTATTGTTTTTGTGTGCTTTGTGAAAATTAACCGAACTTTGTGTTTCTCAGTCTCATCATAACTATTAATATATTGTTTATTTTGTGTTAGCTTTGAGAGGACATCCATTTTTTATCCATTTATGAGCACAACCTGCATTATTATGGATAGATCTAGATCTAGATCTATATCTCTAGACTAGATTTAGATCTTAAGATCTAGATCTAGAGTCAAGGGCGGCATTCTCACCGGTGATAGGACAACCATTGTAGCGTTCACCGTGAACCACAGAATTCTATTAAGTGTAGAATTCTGTGCTGTGACCAAACATTCCAGCGCTGTTGTGTTGAAGGCGTGCAATTTTGTCTGTGGGCAGTGAGAGAGAAAGAGAGAGAGAGGGGGGAGAGAAAGAAAGAGAGAGCGACAGGAGTGGCGCGAGAACTTCCGGGCATAAAACAAGATGGCGACCTGCGTAGTTCGGTTCGATTCGAAAAGTTAAATAGCCCTAGCATCTTTGTAGACGACCAAATTTATTTATTTTTGTGTTTTAACCATCATGTTTTCTTTGTTTTTGTCTATTTGATTATCAACATCGATTTTATAGACAGTATTCCGAAATTAGGAAAAACTGATCAGATCTTATTTCACACCGGGTGAGAATAGCCAATGCTGGCAAGTCTCACCCTTGGTGAGAGGTGGATCGTATTTTTATTCTCACCCAGAGTGAGGACAGCTACTTCCTTCTAGATTAGAAGATCTAGAGGGCCACCTACAGTCCGATTAGATTTTTTGTCTAGATCTATAGATCGGGTCCGAAAAAAATATTTTATTTGTTCGGACTCTGCTTCTTACTTAGTGAGAATGTGAGTGTAAGGAAGTTAATTTAGGCTAACTGTTGTCATAGGATTATATGTAGCCTCTATGTAATGAAATGATATATATAAGTGCTATCTAATCCTAGATTCTACTCCTACGTTGGTTTCTACTCACTGTTTCGAGCGGGGAACGATGAGTGTGTCGTACAGGTCCGGAGCTCCGTCCACTGTGTCGACCCACCAGTAGCGTCGATCCCTGCTCAGACTAGATCTAGGTTTTAGTCGTGGCTCGGAAGGCCAGTTTAACCTTCGCCGTCTGTTTATATACCCCCCGTGCTCCCTTATTCTCCTACACACACTAGGCTACACTGAGTTTGTTTACTTATTTCACGTGATTCTGGCTTGTCTGGTAATCGCAGCGAATTATAAACCACAGCCTACGGCCGCGTCTAGGCCCCCTATTCGGACTACAGCAAATCTACAACGAGTACTTAGCACACCTCTGTGATTGGCCCAAATAATAAAAATAAAGATGACATATTTCCGCTATCTATTTTTTTGTCGTCGTCCCGGGTTTCCCCCAAGACACTTGGGTTTCCCTCGCCACGACTCTCCATTAACTGTTGACAAGATCTTGCCGTGTTTGAGGGTTTTTTTTGTATGAGTTTGGGTTATCTTTTATATACAATCTCAGCAATTCTCGCACTATAAATTTATCTTAGACTCCTCAAAGTTGTGTACACACACGCGCACACTCACCCACACACACATGCACCCACAAGCGTGTGTGCCCACACACGCACACTCACACACAAACACATGGACACACACACACACACACACACGCACACAAGGGCGCGCACAGCCCAATCAGTCGACAATGAAACTTAGAGATCTAGTGACGAAGCCCACAGCATGCTTTGTGGCAAAGCGGGATGGCCACGGTGGTGAGATACAGTCGACTGGCGAGGGAAGCCCCGGGAGACGACAAAAATAGATGGCAGAAATACGTCAAATGTGTCGCAACATGGTGGAATCAGGCGCTCGTCAAATTTTTGGGCATATATGGGGTTATGATAACCGTTATATTGGTATCATCTTAAAGCCTGTTAATGTGACTCCCTTTTGGTGAAAAAAAATCCATTATCTGTGTTGAAAAGAAGTCGAAATATGTGTGATTGAAGGAGTCAGGGTCGCTGTATTTCTGATTGAAAAATTTGTGAGAAAATGGCCACCAAAATTTGGTCAGATTCCTGACAGAACTGCATGCTGATGTCAGGCATTGATTGTTCAAAATTGATAATTCAGTCCTCACGCAACACCGCGACAACAATACTCAACTACTCAACTCACTGTCGTTAGGCTCACTTGTTTGGGTTTTTTAAATTTTATTTCCAAGCAGATGACAATTGATATAAAATTACTCTGTCACTTGTTTTCACAGCCTAGTAACAGGGCCATGATTGATTACGCTTTTAGTCACTTAGTCTTGCCTGTAGGCATAGATCTTGGCCAACTTGTCTTAATACTGAATATTTTATTACAATTTTTCCTGGTGACAGTGAGTTGGTAGGGGAAGCAGAATATGAAGAGGGAAGTTGGATTTGTGACCAGGAATAAATAGGAGAGGTTCCTTAAATAAAGTCAGATTTCTGTTTTCTCATAAAACCCTATACTACTACTACTAACAAAGAAAGTGTTGGCCTATTACCATAATGTATATTTTAAATCTTCTAGACTAATACTAATTACCATTTATTATGGTAGATATAAATAAATTCTTTACTTTAAGTTGCCTCTGGTTTGTATTAGATTATTTATGTGGAGTACCTCCCGCTTTGAGAATGTGTGTTATTTTACTCATGGCGTCATGGACCCGTCTGAAGCTTAGATTCTAAAACTTTATATATTTTTTGTTCATTTTTATCGTACATCCCATGTCTGTATTGGCGAAGGTAATTTTAAAAACTTGTTTTTAGATGGATTGGCTGCCTGCTATGCTCTGAATGTTTTATTATCTTTGAATGAAGAGTTCCTTTGACAGCCTGTCACCATCTTTTAAATTTTCTTGTTGTGTTACATTACATTTGTTTCTCAAAGCTTTTCCTAAATTTTTATTGATTTCCTTTTTTATAAAAAGAAATTTCTTTGCTTGATGTTTCCCTCTTAGAAGGTCCAAAGTTAGGATACTGCCAACGCTGGATTGATAAAATAAAGATATTATGATGACATTTTATTTCAAGTGCATCTTATTGAGTCATTCGTTGCTTCTTTCACCTACACACTTTTTTTTTCTATCGTAACTATAAATGTTCCTTTTAAAAGGGATCATTAACGGATAACACACTTTTGGGTTGGGTTTTTTTCCTATTGTGTAATTGAGTATGCTCATTCTGTTTTGTGAGCAATTCAGAAATTTCTGATTACTAATGTGATGTAAGTCTTATCCTCACATTACTCGTATGGTAAGATATTTTTCTTGAAGGTCTTTATTTACACTTTCATGTGAAACTGTCAAATGAATGCAAATATTTAAAATTTTGCTCTTGTCATTGTGAACCTATATACATTTATCTGGGCAAGTCTGCCCATCGTGCAATGAAATACCCTAGAAAACTAGGAGAAATGTTCAATGTGTCCGATTAAATAGAAATTTGTTATAGTCATGCCTTTCACATCAGCTTGAATGGTGGCTTGTAGAGAAAAGAAAATACAACTGTTTGTGATTTTCTCTTCTTGAAGATTCGGTACATTATCATGGCAGCCTCAAGCTCTTCCAGCCATGACATGGCCACAGGAGGAGTAACTGATGATGGACAGAACGATGATGACATGTATGAAAGGGAGGAGAACATTGGTCTTGAGGAGGAGATGGGAGATGAGAATGGAGAGAAACAAGCTGCTGCTGAAGATGGTCAAGAGAAAGAACTCTTTGATGCGTATGAATTTGGTGGGCAAGAGGAGGATCAGGAGCCTCCAGACCCCACTGTAAGTGGAAGGTGTTTGTTGCCATTCTGTATGATATTATGTCATGAAGGTGCAAAGACATTATTACATATTGATGGCCTCGTTCACAAACTGTCTTACTCTGAATGGTTATGTGATTTAAAAAATAAATAAAGAATCTCCATTTCACACAATGTCTATCTGACAAAAAGGTTTATATACAAATGTGCCAAACAGTCATGTAATTAACTCACTTGCGCCTGAACTATTTTTCAGCCAACAACAGTTGAAGCCTCACAATGTTTGGATATATTGAATCTTTGACCATGAAAAAATTGTGAAAGCTATCATAAAGAAGGAAAGAAATGCTCTCACAGGAAAAGAAAACTGCATCTAATTTGCCCTTTAGTTTTAGTAGAGGTTTTATGGCACTCGCAGCTGCATAAAGTCTTATGAGCGCCTAGGGGTGGATGTCAACAGAGAAGTCCTTACAGGGAATCAGGCTTACTCTGCTCACCTCTCTAGCTTCAACAGCACAAAATCTGCTTCGACTATCAAAGCACCCCGGAAATATCAGGTCACAAGAGTGTGACAAACATTCAAAAGAAGTGTAGGAAAATGATGATAGTAAGGATTAGGAAAGAAAAAGCAGCAGTTCCCTGTTGCAGTTCAGGCACAGTTATGAGCATGACATTGATGAATCAGCCCATTTACAATTCTACTGTGCATAAGAACATTGTAATTCCCTTTGGGAATGACCTAAAGACACTTCAGTCGGAAGCGCCACCATGGGGGGTGATCTAATTTGTCAAAATATTTATAATCAATATTTTTCAATGGAAATGTTTGGGGTCATTCAATTTTTTTTTGCGCCCAATTTGTAATAAAATCATCTAACAAGAGAAAACTGTCCAGCATGGAATAAGCAGCACCAGGTGTTCATATACTACTTTTTCTATGTGTTACAGAACATTTTCTGAATAAATCAGAAACCACATGATACAAGCAGTTAATTCTAACTCACGTATGCTGAGCTTGGTGCAGAAGCATGAAATCTAGTCCAAGTAGGAGTACATGATGCTTTTCCCAAATGATGCGACAGTATCCTTTTCCTGTCATTCTGTCTGAAGTTGCACTGAGATACTACTGTCCTTTTCTCACCTTGTGAATGGTTACACCTGCAATTAAAAGATTTACTGCTGCTATGCCCTCAACTAGAACTACTAGATTTGTATATCTTTGGACTAGACTTGGAAGAAGAAGAAAGCTCTTTCACTTTCACCCAACTCCTACTCTCAACTGTTGATTACCTGAACTTAAGCCGTATCGTTACATCTAGCAGCTTCTGGTAAGTTTTGTGGGACATTGCTTTAGCCTTCTACTTCACTATCAGACCTTTTAAGCACTTCAAACATGTTTCATTTATGTCTTTTAGTTTTCATAAGATTTTTACGGCACTTGCAACACAATAAGATCATATAAATGGCACAGAATAGATGTGTTACAAGAGAGTAACATACACGTTTATGTCTTTGAGAGGCTGTCTCCTTTCTAAAGACGACCGCGCTTTGTTTCCGTTTACAGAGCTTTTACCACAATGTGGGATGTAAGACTTAGTTTGTTACAGTTCAAACCGTTAAAGTGACTGCTAAGGAGCATCCCGTAAATACTCGGGATTGGCCACCGGGCCGCGGCGCGTCTCGTAAATACATGGAAATAGGCTCATGTGAGTTAAGGCAATTACGTCATGTGCAGTCGCAAGGTTTGTAGCTAAAATCATGTATGACTTGAAGAAAGAGGGCCATGTTTGATAAGAAATGGGTTCAAAGTATTGGTATCCCCACTTTTTGGCAATGTTTCTTCTTTATCAATCAGAAAATTTTAATAAATTTAAAAAAGTAGATTAATGTTCCTCATTTAGCTGCAAACTGACTTTTTATATGTCTACTTTTATGCAATTGACTGACAGTTTGCCCATTCTCTGTTGTTTTCAGAGACTTAAAGATCCTTTGTCTTCTTTACCCCCAACCCCTCCTCCTCTTCCTCTTCCTCCTCCTCCTCCTCCTATTTCTTCTTTTTTTTTTCTGGGTGAGTTGGTATGAAAATTGTTCTCATTTTTTTTCAATATGTTATTCTGATTCATATATGCCAGGTTTTAAATCAAACTATATGCTGAATTTTGTCATTATATCGACTTGAAATATATGCCTCTTTTTTGTTGAGCAAAAACTTCATGCGGTGATCAAAAACTAACAGTTTCTGAAATCAACAACCCGAAATTAGCTTAGAACCAGTCCTAAACCTAATGCCGAAAATGTGTATTGACCAGTGTAATTTTTGTACTGTAAAGATTTCAATTTCCTTCTTGTAACTATAACCCACAGATACATGAGCTGTCACATTTAGACGGAAAGTATATGGATGGACAGAAAGTATGCACCGCTCGTATCAACATCGAGCGGAGATTTGTTTGTGTTGATTTTCCTGCTGTAATAAGGAATAAAGACAAAGCAATACAAATGATGGGTGGCAAAGATTGCATAGAGAAAGTAAGTGTAAATGTGGCAGTGGCTGTAAACAACCTGCTTATAATATGTTACTGTCCTTCAATTGTTTTTAAACACTTGTTGCTTACATAGTGAAGGAGCTCCTGTTTTAGGATTAAGTGGATTTTTACGTTCCCTCAATTTCTGTAAGGAAAATTATTTTGCAAGTTGAAAAGTTGTAATCTAAGATGTAAAAAGTTACTGTGAGCTATTTGTACTGTGCTTTTTTGTACTTGTTTCTTCAAAATTCTCTAAAAGGGAGATGAAGACAGATTTACCTTTAGGCTCTTTAATCCTAAGTGGTTGAAGAGGGAGCTTGGGTGTGGGTTCAAAACCTTCAAAATGGCAATGCTGCTACCATCATAATGCTCTGGTTAGTGGAAAAATGAATGACTGTACAACATTCTGTTTTCTTAAATAATGCTTTGATTTTGAATTTGTAAAAAAAAAATGTAAGTGTAAGAAGGAATACACAATAAACAATAGATGTGAAAATGAGTATTACTGACTTCTTTATGAAACCAGATGATGCCAATTATATATATAAAGTCATATCATTTAGGCTGTAGGGACTCGATGAAAGTGTTTCCCCCATTTTAATCCTTTTTTCCAGTCTGGCCACTATTTTTACTATTTTTAATTTCCGTCTGAGGTATGTGTGATTTTGTGCTACAAATGTGTGCATTTTTTTAGTTTAAAAGAAAGTCTCCGTGTTTGTTTGCATGCACATTTCATTCAACTTTTTGCTACTGTGAATGTCAGTAATTGCTGTCCAGGTTAGAGTCCTCCAGACTCTTTCTGAATTCATGGAGTGGGAAGGGTGGGATGGAGAATTTATTGCACATTGCAAAAAAGTTTTGAGCTTTTTCTGTAGTGGTGTAAGTTTGATTACGCATCACATTGAAAGTGCAGTTCCAAAACAGTATACTTGCTCCCACTCTGTACTTTGGAAGTTGTTGGTTTTTCTTTTTTCCAACTTTTAATATAAAAAAGTCTTTGATTTTGTCATTTTTATGTCAATTATTTTAAATTCTTTTTTAATGGATAAGTTTATTGCATGTCTCAACTTTAAGTCAAGTTTCTCAGTTTCCTCTTTGATGTCAGCGAATAGAAAGTCTCACAAGGAAGTTTACAGTCATATATCTTCATGGTGATCCTTTCTTGCTACATGCTTGCTGCCAGGCAAAAATATTTATTTTATCTACCGGCTTGTAAATTTGTATTTACACCAGTTTCATTAAGTAAGGTACTATTATTAAATTGATCATGTCTATAATTCCTAGATTTTGTCCAGATCTGGACGTTTGGAAGTGAATTTCCGACCTGAAGATCCATTTTGCAAGCCAACGGTTAGCACAAACAAGAAATGTAGCAATCTACTGATCAAAGTTCGACGCAGAAAAGCCACGGGTTCGACCACCAGCTCTGACGGGTTTGAGTATATGATTGAAGTCCTGGGTATCGTAGACTTAGTCTTCTTTTTTGACAGTGAGTATGTTTAGTGTCTGCAGTCTTAAATTGTTAGAGAATGTGTTTTGTACGTTCTTTTCATAGACGTTACTGTAGGTCCCTGACTGGTGTTTGTGATGTAATGGATGGGCCCTTCGCCTTCGCTTTTGCACGCAAAATATATAAATTCATTTCCTCACAGAGGTTTTTTGGGTTGGTTTTTTTAGTACATTCGCGCTCATATGACCTTAGCAGTTGCGAACGCCGTAAAACCCTATACTACATGAGTACATTCATTTTCAACCCTTTGAGCTCTTGCCACTGGCCACCTGAAACTGCCCGTATGCGTAGCCACCAGTACACCGATGAGCAAGACCTTATGTCCAACCTGGCCAGCCTGGGACAAAATGCACATGGAAAACAGTATTTACTACACAGGATGTACCCTAAAGCTGGAAATCCATAGGCAAGGAAACTGAACGGCTGCGGAACCGCACGGGGACGGTAGAGATTGCTCAAACAGATATGTCATTGTCTAAATCCATTAGTACGGAATGGCAGCGGGACAGCACCGGCAGTTTTTGCGGTACCGCAGCGGCACTTTTAAAATTGGATGCAGGAGTGATTCTGCCTCTGCCGCGGAGAAAAATGTTGGTATGGCACCTAAATATTCCTTTGAAAATGCCACATCGCATTGTTGGCGCTCTTGTTTCCCGAACTTATAGTCCTAGTGCGGTCAAAAATTCGTGGCGCAAATTATCCTCAAATATCTCTGTAACAGGTTAATCAGTGTCATCGATACTTTGCACAGCAGTTTGTGTCAGTTTGTCTTAACTTAATCATATTTTTCCACAACAATTCAGACTAGATTTTAAAAAATTTCTTCATGAATTTATATAAAATAATATAAATCTCCTTCTCGCAGAAAATGAGACTGTTCACAGCACTTCCCGCTTCTCGCACACATTTTGTATACGCATGTGGCTTACATCACAGCTCATCAGTGACACTTTTTAGTGGCAAAACTTGTTACAAGAAATTGATTTTATAGTGAACACATTTTTTGCACTAAAGGTTCTCAAAACATGCGTTCAACAAAGATTGTGTCACTACCAGAAAAACATGACGGGCTTGGTTTTAACAGCGATAGTGCCCCAGCTGTAAACCTTTTAAAATATATTATATAGAAACCGCCCACTTGTATTTTATATTAGTATTTATTAAAGAGTTTTCTAGAATACAGCTAACAGGTATTTACAAAAATATTGATCTGTTAAGACAAATTACTACAAGTCATTGTGCGAAAACTGGAGAGTCTGTGTTCAATAGTTTATTAAATATCTGATAATCAGTTGTGCCACGAATTTTTGACCGCAGTATAGACAGTTATGACTGGGTAGGTGTCATGCTGCTAATGCAAAAAAGAAATTTTTTAAAAAAGTGCAAACCTGCCGTGGCGCACCATGTCTATGGATTCAAACATTGAAGTTGCCCCTTGCAATACCGCACATTTCGTCCTGGTGCTGTTCCCCTGCCGTTCAGTTTACGGGGCATATGGATTTCCAGCTTGAATGGGATGTGGAAAATTATTCTGATGATCTTATGGATGTTAGTAATATATCGCTTAAAAGCTCAGGCACAGGGTCACGGTAGCTTCAGGAGGTCAGGGTTCAAAGGGTTAATACTGGGATGCTGTATCACATTCAGCATAGGTTGGCCCTGATGGACAGCATCAAAATAACGCCTCTCGAAAAGGATCTAAGTTGCATGTTATATGGGGTTGTAAAATATTAACAATCAATTTCATAGGTCGACCACCTGATTCTTAACACTGTGATGTCTTGCTTGTGTGTTTTCTAGCGCTTGTCTTTAATTTTTAATTGCACTGGTGATATTATCTGTTCACACAACAAGTGTTTTGTATTAAGTGCTTTGTCAGTATGTTGGTTCAACCATTTGAATTCTTACAGAATGGGTGGTTGGTCTGTGAGTACTCAGGTGTGCGCTTTGGTTTTGTCTGCTTCGTTTTGGGTTCTTGTTCTGCGCTGCTATTGTCATAATTTGTTTCATTCTAAAATGTTTTCATTGCGGTGCTAACTCATTGTGAACTTCAGCATATAATATAACAACATTTTCTCCCATATCTTTCAGAGCCATGTGACTACCAGTTCCTACCTGTAATCAAAACGGACAGTGGACAGTACCAGGAAATGCTCTCAAAGATGATACCGACCTTGGATGTGGACAGAAGTGAATATCTTGCTCGCTCCTGTCCCCTGTTCCTTCCTCCCATCATGTTCTCTCGGCGAGAGAAACCCTGCGTGTACGCTTTGGAGAATGATCCTCTCAATCCGGAGATCGACACATTTCCTGGTGCGGCTTGATTTTTTAAATATGTTAAAAAACTGGTTTTTTATGAGATTGTGAATTATCTTGGAATTATGATTCTTTAACTCAGTGCCAATTTACCTGGATCAGTTCTGGGTTTTGGGGGATTTGCTAGTCTTCTGTTATAATGCTCAGATCTCACACTTAAATGTCTAGTTCAATTCTAGATTCACATAGTTATTGTGGGTACATAACTTGGGATCTTTCTCATCATACATTTTGCACCCCTGGTCCAAGAGTATTTTGATTCATTTGAGAAATATGAAAAAAATTGAACGTTGTAGCATGATAATAGTCATAGTAATTGCATTTATATAGCACATATCCAAGCTCTACAGCATGCTCCTTGTGCTTGACAACTGCTATTATCCCAGCCCAGCAGAACCTAGAACACTCGGAAGCTTTATTGGCCTCCCAGGTAGTGCAGGAGAATGCAGACCAACTACTTGGTCGGAATTCCAAACTTTCCCTTTTCCAATGCGAAGGAAATGCTTGAGAATATTTAATGTGAACCTTTGAAAAATGGCTAATGTTCCTTAAAATGCAGGCATGACATAACTATCTGTTATGGAAATATTATGTCCTATAAATGTTATGTCACAGTCGCTTAAACTGAGGACTGCATGCAAAAATTGTAGGCCTACCAAATGTATATTATGGACCTTTCTCAAACTGTCTGTACTGTTGTAAATAATGCCCTCCTGTCTAAGGAAATCACCTATACCCACTTCCCCTTTACTCTTGTGGTTTGTTTTTGTTTGAGGTTTGTTTTTTTTGGGGGGTGGGGAGTTAATAATGACACACTGTCTGAGACGTCCATCTTGGATGGCTGTCTTGGACAATTTCAACTGTTTGTATAATTTCTATCTGAACCCTTCTCAAACTGTCAGTACTGTTCTTAATATATTTTTCCTATTTCTTCTTTGGCAGATTCGCTCAGGAAGAAACGAGTGCATGGTACACACATAATCAATTTTGAGGATGATTTCTTACCAACTGAACCCATAGATGTTGCCAGGTCTAATGTTGAGAGATATTTCCCAAGTCACTCCTGCACCGAGGGTCTTGAGGCTTTGAAAAAGGTAGATAAAATGTGTCATAACGTTGTGAAATCAGGTGCTTGTCAGTTTTTGGGCAGATGGAGTTATTGATATTATCTAAAAGCTTGTTCATTTGTCTTACGTTTGATGAAAAACCAACACCGGCAAATCACTTCATGGCTCATTAACCCTGTGACCCCTAGCTGTGGAACTCTTGCGGGCTGCTGAGTCACGCTGACTATAAGTAGCAGAATCTGGCAAAAAGTAACGCCGTGTTCAGCATTGTTTCTGATATAAATCAGGATTGGGCTTAACAACTTCCATCCACACAGCACTTCCCATTTTAGCCTGCTTTCATCTCTAATTTTATCTCCCCTCCCCCTTCAGTTCCGATCTCTTCTGAGCCCCTCTCCATTTTACTCTTGACTCTTTCTACTGTTCTCCTGGTTCTTTCTTATTTCTGTTTTTCACTCCCACCCCTGATCTTATCTATATATATATACATAAAAGTGGACTTGAGAGGCTTTGTGCTCAAACTCCTCCCATATTACCTGACTAACGTCTTTAAAACTTTGCAGGTGTCCACAGCATCTATGTGGCTAGGACCTAATTTTTAAAATCCACGTAAACTGCTTTCCCTTATTTTTCCTAAATGCTTTGTTTCATCCTCACAGAGTTCTAGGCCTAGGCTAACTTACCATCAACAATTTCGCAGTCTCATTTTTTTAATAACCAAAAGTCTTTTCTCAAGTGAGGTTTCCGTTTACCTGCCGTGCTCACTTATACCACTCCTTTGAAATTCTGGATTGTACAACCACAAAAGCGGAATAAAGAATCAATCTATACATCTATTATAATAATTTGGCAACTGGTAAACACTAGTGTCACTTTTCTCGAAGTGATATTTTGCGAGGCACACTTTGTTTTGAGAGTACAGATCTAGACCTTCTACTTCTAATTTTTTAGACCTCTCAAGATTTATTGCTTCATTCCCGTAGAGTGTAAAAAATATAGCAGGCCAATGAATTTCAGTTGATGTTAATGCACTGATCATTCTTTTCATCGAAAGGGGGCCCAGCTAGTAGTAAGATAGAACACGTAGCCTTCTCACATAAGGATGAAAAATCTCTGAGGTCCCATGTGCAAGCTGCACAGGTTGAAGATCCTTTGATAAAGATACTTGTGTTATAAGTTTGTTTAAGTCTCTTATGAATCATCATTCTGCTTTGTGGATGATTTGTGGGTGCTCTGATGTGGTTTGCTCATTCTTTCCATCAAACATCTATTGTCCTTATCTGTCCTCCTTTTTTGTACCCCCCGGGGCGGTGCCACTGACTGAAGTGTCTTTACGCCATTCCCTAAGGGGGGACATTTCTTATAGCACAATTGAATTGTAAATGGCCTGATCCAACAATGTCATACTCATAACTGTGCCTAAACTACAACAGGGAACTGCTGCTTTTTCTTTCCTAATCCTTACTATCATCATTTTCCTCTACTTCTTTTATATGTTTGTCACACTCTTGTGACCCGCTGTTTCTGGGGTGCCTTGATAGTCGAAGCTGACTTTGTCACTTTGTGTTGTTGAAGCTAGAGAGGTGAGCAGAGTAAGTCTGATTCCCTGTAAGGACTTCTCTGTTGACACCCACCCCTTGGCGCTCATATGACCTTATGCTGTTGTGAGCGCCATAAAACCTCTACTAAAACACACATTTCCTCCTTTTTTGTGCTTGTTGCTCTCTTGAAACACCTCTTATCTTCGGCACTTATATGAGCTCCTTGTGTTGCAAGTGCCGTAAAACTCTTACTAGAACTAAAACTGAAAGGAGGCTGAAGCCATCTGGGACCTGTGCACTAAATCTTTTTCACAAAGTTATACTCGTATATATCCCCTTTCTTATAAAATTGACTTTTTGAAATTGCTGTAGCATCTGATGTCAGTACAGTATAATCCGCGGTATTTTTTTACTTTCCCTCCCGTCTCACATTTACCTACTAGTTGTCCATTTTCTACTAAATATTGATGCGCTGAACACGAATATCAACTTCGTTTCCGTTGCAAATTAATAGTTTTTGAAATATTTGATTGTTTCTAATTGAGATTGAAGTTCTGTGGACCTATCAGGGGGCTCCAGGGGGTCTGCCCCACTGTGGTAAAAGATTAAAGAAAATCGGGGTGGGGAAAGGGGGTGAGCGATCAGGAGTGGGGGTAGGAAGGTGATGCCCAGCAGGC